AACCTCTTCACGATACCTCTTTGAATCAGCAGGTTTACCATCATTGTCAAATTTCATTTTCATTTCACATGGTGTTGATCTTGGTTTGCAGTGAGTCATGTCAAATCTCTCCAAAATTTTCGTGATGTATCTTCTCTGGTTCATTTTTATTTCACCATTTGTTTGTGTAAAGTCAATGCCCAGGAAATGTCTAAGTTTTCCAATATCTTTAATTTTAAACTTAGCTCCCAACATTTCCTTCACACTCTTGAGTATTTGACCATTACTCACTGCAATAATAATATCATCAACCCAAATGATCAACATGACTCTTTCTTTGTCATGATCTTTTTTTTTTTTCCTCTCTCCCCTCTCTCGTAGCTGTCTCTCCTCATCCTTCCGTCTCCTTTTCTCTCGGACATACGCTATTTCCTGTATGACTGAAACGAAAGTCATCAGATGGCCAGAGCTCGGGAGTGCCTTTCAAAGCGCGCTGAAATCTTTTGAGACACTGGGTTGTGACTGAGGCCAAGATGGACGGAAGTGGAGTAGAGTCCGGAAGTGATCTGGATTTGGAGGATGTAGATGGCGGGGGAAATGAAAGAAACAAAAGTAGTAAGTGGACTTTAGTAGAAAAGCGGAAAAGAAGGAAAGATTGGAGCCAAACATCAGGAACAGAAAGTGAGAGAGAATGTCATCAGATGAGAACAAGAAAGGAGGAGTTTAAGGTATTGGTGAAGTTTATGTCGGAAGAAGCAAGTAGTTTGAATCCCTTGAAATTGACTAAGTCACTGAAGGAAATGGTAGGAAATATTGAAAGTGCTAAGATCTAAGATGTTGGAAAAATGATAATTTTCTGCAAAGACAGTAAACAACAAAAGGCTGCTCTAGGGATTAAGGATTAAGAAGGGCAAAAGGTTACTAGTCAAGTTATGGGAGAAAAGAAATGGATGAGAGGAGTTATTACTGGAATACCAACGAATGTATCAATAGATACGATTAAGAAAAGCATTTCAGGAGCAAAAGTGATAGATGCGAGGAGGCTGAAATATACCCGAGACAAAGAGAGGATGGACAGTCTTTCTGTAATGGTACATTTTGATGAAGAAAAATTGCCGGTGTTCCGGTGAATTCAGTTTCCCTGTTTCCCCCTCACAGCGCCTGCGCAACTTCGCAGTGTTGCCAAGTCCGCGGTTTTCCAGCGGTAGTTTGTAGTAGCAATTGCGCGGTTTCATTTTAAATATCCTGGCAACCCTAAAACTTCAGTACTAAAATCATGACGTCATGATTTCGCCCCGGCTAAGCAAGTCAGCTTATGGTGGTTTTGCTGTCTTTCTGCAAGCAACGTTCATTTCACCATGTTAATTAGATCATTTGTAATCAAATACGTATTAATGTACGTGACGTCCTGTTCAATCGCAACATAGAGTCAGATTTCCCTGCTAATTCTAACGTTTGCCTGTTATGAAGTGTAACACCATTCATTACAATTAGACAGTTAAATTCCTTCGTCAGGGGCATTCTTTTGTTCAGACGCCCATTTCCATTTTATTGTTATTGTTGTTGTTAGTGTGTGTGTGTGTGTTTCTGTTAAACAACTTAAGCCTTGTCGAAATAATAACAAATAAACTATATTGCACAATGACTAGTCTCTCTTTTATTATTTTAGGTAACTCAGAGTGATGCTCCTGATGTGTTTTAAAATGTCATAATTACGTCTAACCACTTTTATCTGCAGAACACTTTACAGTGAAAACACGAGGAACATATCTTAAAAGATACACTAAGATACCATATTCTTTTTTGTCTAGATATTAATTTGTCATTTAAGTAGGTGACATGATTTAGAGGGTTTTTAAAAAAAATGATTACAATTATAATTATTTTTTCACTTAATTTAATAAAAAGCTTGGACCTTTAATAAAAACTTAGCAGTCCCTTAAAAAGCACTACTTAGCTTAATTGAGGTATTATTAGAAAAAAACAATTAAGCGCCTGAATGTCATCAAGCCATCTGAGGTAAGATTTTTTTCAGGTAAATTATGCATTTAAATCTTAACATCTTATAATGACTTTAACGATCTTATAATTGACACTTTATAATTGATACTCACTTATAATTGAGTTGTGATTGATTCCTGGTGTCTCTAAGTTTTACCACAGGTTAGTGTCAATTTCTCAGAGTGTGTAGCTAACCTTTAAATTGTGTAAACAGTCTAAATAGTATAAACATTGTGAATATAATTACATTTTGACTTTATTCCCAGAATGGATCAGACACAGTATGAAATTATATTAAATTACAAATGTAGAGGTTTATATCCTGATCAAATATCAAAAGCTGAAAAGTATGTCATTCGACGACGCGCACATCAGTATATAGTCCAGGGTAAGACACTGTATTGTTCATTGTTAAGTTATGCTAATGTTCATTACTGCATTAATTTAACATATTTCGCTGCTGATATAACTGGTACATTTCATATATATATGTATATGTATGTGTATGTATGTTATTTTTTATGTAGCTGGAGTACTGTTTTATGTCCGCCATAAGAACACACAAAAACAGCACAATGTAAAAGTGGTCAGAGGTGCTGCAGAGGCAGACCAAATTTTCAAAGAATTTCATGCCAGCGAGGCAGGTGGTCACAGTGGCAAAGAAAAAACCATTCATGCCATTTCCAGCAGGTACTACTGGCCTGGAATGAGTCTTGACATTGAAAAGTGGGTGAGTTTTACTGATCTCACAATTAAATATTCAATACAAACAGTGCTAGTTCCTATAAAAAAAAACGGGTATGAAATAATATTTTATTTCGGTGACTGACTGCCCCACACACTCCTCAAAACATTAGATTCATCCACGCTGGAGCCTCTTGAAGTAGCTACCTGATTGCCTAATTCCAACCCCACCCCTAATCCTAACCCCTCCCCCACACCTACTCCTAAACCTACCAATACTAGGGGATGCATAATCTGGCAGGGTGCAAATTTCGGCACTACACCGGCGCACAACCCACGCAAGGAAGATAATTCCGCAAACAGCTGCAATTGCAGGTTTTCAAACTGAGATGGCGACAAAGAGGCAAAACTTACAGACTGCAGCTTTAAGTAGGTAATAACAAAACACTACTGAAACAGAACTAAGAATGAACAAACTTACAAATAATAAATACAGAAATAGCCTATATAAACGAAAATTATTATATAAATTATAATATAATTAAAATGTATATGCAAGTCATTTAGAGAGTTTTAAGGCATTAATTTTTTAAAAGCTTTAAAAATTGGAATAAAAAAATGTAAATAATGTTTAAATGTCACAAAACTTGGAGTAACTTTAACAAATATATATTAGTGTAAGTAATCCTATAATCAAAATGTTTTTGCACACACATACACACACAAAAAAATCAATCTCTTCGTTTTGCATAAAACCACCAAAATAACAATGTGATATCTTTGTAACAAACTCCTACTCATAAATTGTCCAAAAGGTTTTTAACAAAATTATAGTTGCAGAAAAGATGTTCCTAAGATCTTTTTGACAAAATGTACAAGCATTACTCTTAATTAACATTACTCCTTAAAATTTACTGCAATGAATACACTATAAATATCATTAAATGTTTGGAAGTAATCTTCCTTCATTTTAAGCAACGAAGGAAAATAGTAATAACTCAAATAATGTCCACTCAAATAATGAGTGATATAACTCAAATAATGTCCACTTTTTAAAACCTTTGAAATAAAACGTTTATTTTATCATTAATGTTGACAATAATTAAAAAATTATTTATCATCATTTGTAACTTTGAAATAAATAAATAATTGTAAATGAACAGATTAAAAAATAAATAAAAAAATAACTACAGCCCTCATCTGAAGGTTAAATTGCCATTAAACACTTACATTTGAACTGTTCTAAGCTGTTGCATCTCTAAGTGTGTTTTTGAGTATACCAGTGTATATCCTGCTCTTATGATGGCATATATTAATGTAAAACATATATTTACAAATATTTGAAATACCAGGGCAGCCT